TTTACTTTAATTGTTAATTTAAATACTAAAATAGTTATATTAAATAATTACTTGTAATTATTATATATTGGTAATGTATTATAAACAGATAGCGAATATAGCTACAACAAAATTAACATGAGCATCTTATAGACAGAAATTTCTTTTAGAAACTTTATAGAAATTTCTTTATTATTTTATAAGTTTCTTTGTTTTTGCAAACACTAATTATATAACACTGATAAAATTGAATGTATAAGTAATATAAGTATTATTAAATATACTGTATTTAGGTTATCACAAAAAAATTATTAAAATTTGTTTATTCACATTATTCACATTTACATATGAATACAGTACTAACCTTTAACATTATTAAAAGGTTACATTATTTTACATAACGTATAATTGAAAAATTTATCAACAAATCGAAAATTAGCCAAAAATTATATAAAAATATTTGTAATAATTTTATTACACAATAACCTTATATTGTTTAATGTCTACCGATTCCATATAATTATTGAAATATTTTTTTAATTTTCTACTCTGAATAATAATATTTCAGATAATTAATGTTAATCTCTTGGGTTAATAGAGTTTACGTTTTTTTTGTTGTTTGTTATGAGATTAATTCAAAAGTATTTATGATATCACGTGTAACTTAATAAAAATTAACACATATTATAGTGTTAATGTTTATAAAATTTTAATATAATTATTCATATTTTATTTATATTTTACAACAAACTATTATGATAATTTTTGTTAATTTGCTATTAATAATTAATTGGCAAACAACATATCTATACGATATTAAATTTAAATAATTTTTAAATATATTCGTACTTCAATTAACAAATTAAAAAAAATAATATGTTTAATGTAATTATTTTTTAACAAACTTTTTAAAAGTTGTGATATTTAAAGTTCAATTAATATAATTTATCAACGATTGTAAAAATTAATAATTTATGATATTTACATCAAATTTAATATTATTCAATTTAATAATAATATTTTCAAAAAACTTATTTATATCATAATTCTATGATATATGATATATATCTTATGAATATGAAAATATAATTAAAGTGTGATAAGTATTTTAGTAAAAAAATACTATAATATAATCTTTTAATTATTTTAATAGTCACGAAATCTATTTATAGAAATAATCTTTTTATTTATTTTTATTAGACAATTCATATTTTTTCTATCAAAATTCATATTTTTTAGCTACCATTAATCAAAAAATATGCTTTTTTAATATGTTCAACTTATATAGTTTAGTAAATTACTTTAACTTTAATTTTGTTTAAAATTTAAAAAAATATATAAATTAAAATGTTTTCAATCTAAACACAAAGTTTAAGCATTTTAATGTTTTACTTTTCAAGTCTCTCTCTCTCTCTCTCTCTCTCTCTCTCTCTCTCTCTCTCTCTCTCTCTCTCTCTCTCTCTCTCTCAGTTAATGTTATTGATTAGATGAGTCAAACAATTTTCCAATACATTAACTTTTTAAACACATTTATTTGAGTCAATAATAATATCCGTTTTTAGTATTTAATTTTATTTAAACTATATATATATTTGTTATTTATTCGTTTTCTATATGTCTTCTATTTTTATCAAGATGTTATATACTGTATATAGATATATACTATACAAATAAAATAAAAAAGTTTAAAACATATATTTTAAATATATTTTCACTATTGATTAATAGTTATTTTGTTTTTATTTAATAAAATAAAACAAAACTAAGTAAAATATATTATGAAAAAATATTTATTGTAAAAAAATTACAGTATACTGGTATATATTAATAAATTATATAAATTAAAATAAACTACATTTTGTATTCACAATTTCTATTTGTGTATATTTTATTTAAAATAAAATTAAATTTTACTTGTTGATTTATATAGTATATTGAAGCGTAAAAATGTTATGTAATTTATTTTTAGTAAAGTATTAAATATAATAATTTCTTTATTTCAAAAATTTATTTTTTAAATTATTTAATATATTTATCTCTAAATTACTTGTCTTTTGTTATTTATCTTTATGACTGTTTTGCAAGAGAATGTAACTCTCTCTCTCTCTCTCATATTTTTATTTTTTGAAATCATAAATATTATGAAAAATAGTAGTTTTTTAAGATATAAACTATAGCTTTTAGAAAAATAATAAATTAAATTAAAATAATTTTAAAAAGTTTTTTTAAATATCAAAATTCTACGATTAACCATAAATTAAAATTTGTTCAATAATATACTTTTAATGTATTGTAAATAAATAATTAATTTAATTCAGTGTTTTTTTTGCTGATGAATGTGTAATGCAGTAAATTAATTAAAATTTTGTTTTTTGATCGAGATTTGTATGTTTATCTGTCACATAGTAATTGCATTTTTAAAATTAGTTGAAAACAAAACAACAGACGAATCAATTAAAAAAATAATACAATAAATATAAAATTGTATTATTATTATTGTGATAAAAATTGTCAAATATCAATAATTTTTGTAAATGTATACACACACATTCACACACACACACACACACACACACACACACACACACACACACACACACACACACACACACACACACACACACACACACACACACACACACACACACACACACACACACATACAYACACACACACACATTCATACACCCTCATGCAATCTGCAAATGTTTTATATTATAAGTTTTTTTATTGCAAAAGTATACCACCAGTCAGTCTACTTATATTGTCTTAAATCTAATATTGTTTCTAATTTAATGCCAATTTTTGTTGATATTTATTTTAACTTCTAAAATGTTATTATAAAACAGCAGAAATACACACACAATAAAAAGCATAATAAATGCACTTTAGATTAGACTTAACATCTCATTTAATTTCTTTATCTTTTCCTTCATTATAATTTGCGATATTGTTTAACCCACTGATTGTATTAGTAGTAGTAATAATAATAGTAGTATTAGTCCTGATTTTGACGTTACAGTAGGGCATACAAGAGTAATATACTGTATTGTAAATGTAAAATACATAACATAAATAAAATAAAAATTATTTGTATGTTTTTTATCAAAAAAAAAGTAAAACGGAAATACTTTTATCTTGAAATTATAAATTATATGAATAATTTAGTTATTATCACTACTGTAAATAACTAAAACATGAGTTTGAATATATTATCTTTTATTATTTGAAATGCTAGTACCCACCTACAAACATATGTATACTTAGACAGAGAGAGAGAGAGAGAGAGAGAGAGAGAGAGAGAGAGCAATGATATGGTTGTCTCTCACGTCACTAAAATCCCATTATGTATGTCCACTACAAAAGCAATTAAGATTCTGCTAACTTAACAACAATTAATTTGTGATCAGAATATATAATACATTATATTGAATATAATACAATAAAATACTTTAACTACTGTATAGTTATATATCGTATATATAATTACTTTACAATATAAATTGTATTATATAACAAACACACAAAAATTGTTGTCTTTTTTTAGTGAAAATCCTCTACTTCTTACTTCAATTTGTATTGTTTTAAGTGCAATACATTAATTGTGAATTTGAAAAAAACAAATATTTTATTAAAACAAATATTTTATCACTATTTGATAAAACACAGTAAATCCATGTTTTTCCCAAATGTTGTTTTGAACAACATTACTGAAAATATTATTTTAAATAAAATTTTATTATTAAAAAAATGAAATAATTGCTTGTTATTCAATACAAACAAAATTATTTGTATACAGTATACAAACAAATATAATAATAATCATATGTTTGGATTAATTTTTCCCACTTTTCTAAAAATTCAAATAATCTTAGCAATTGACTTTTCATATATAGTAAATAGTAGTAGTAGTAGTAGTAATAATAATAATAATAATAATAATAATAATAATAATAAGAGTAGTAGTAGTAGTAGTAGTAGTAGTTTAGTTATTTTTTAAATAAACACTTAGTATATAAAATGTGCTATATTAAACTACTAACGCTTATAATGAATATTATTGTATGTGTCTGTATATACAGTATATGTGTGTACTGTATGTGTCAGTGCGCGCTCTCCCATTACTTTTCATGAAATTACAGAATATTCTGTGTGTCTATGCGTTTACGGGTGAGACTGCATTAGAGCACTGGTATATTACACGCTTATACTGTGTATGTTATGTATGTGCACAGCCGGCAATTGAGTAGAGAATCAGAATAACTATATTATCGGTAGTTTTATAGCACAACAGACTACTAGTCCCTAACACTAGTAGTCCTGTGCTCTATCAGTGACTCGTAAACCGTTGTTTTTTATATAATCTTGTTTTCGCTCAACATTTGCTGTCAAAATATTTAACACTAAATTTATATTCACCAAATAGCCATATATATATATTTCAATATATATTAAAAATAAACCAAAACAAAAACTACTGTTTTATTAATGTATAAAAACTTAATATATAAACTAAATGCATTTATTTTTTCAAAAATATAATGCTCGCCAATTATCATCAATGTTTAATAAAATATGAAAACATCAAAATAAACATACCTTAATATTTTAAATAATTTAACGCATAATTTATTATTATTATTAAAAATTTGATATGTTTTTTTATTTTATGTAAAAATATACTTTAAATATCTTGGAAATTACTTTATAAAATTGAAAAAATATATAATTATTACTATTATTATTGTGGAAATGGTTTCTTTTATTTGTGTAACAAAATATGTGATTAAAAAAGTCAATTTACTAAAATAAAAATTTTAGTACTAAATGATGTTTTATGTCAAGTTTAAATAAGTTTAATTTGACAATTGATAATAAAATTATTGTCTCAAATAATAATAATAATAAAATTTTGATTTTGATTATTATTTGACAAATTGATTACTATTTGAAAAGAGTTTATCATTTTTGTTGTTCAAACTTTGTTCAAACATGTCATTGGGCGCCACATTTGACGACATACTGTCCATTATTAAAGACATGGGTTACTATCACTACGACGGCCGCAACTTTACCAGTTTAGAGGGACTGTTTGATTACCTGAACATTACGCCTCCCGCTGAGCCCCAGACGGGTAATGTGATGACTGTAAGCGCTTACTCATTGATTGTATTTGTCTCGCTATTGGGCAATGTATTGGTCTGTAAGGTGTCGCTGGAAAATCCGACCACAACTAACTGTTTGATTGCATCGTTGGCCATATCGGACCTATTGGTCACCGTATTTAATATACCGCTAAACGTGGCCCGTCTTCTACTCGAAGAATGGCCTTTTGGACAGTTTCTATGTTTTTTCGTGCCGTTCATACAAGTGATGGCTGTCTACGTGTCCAGCTTTACAATGGCCGTCATAGCCATTCACCGGTGGTGTAGTGTCACCAGTCGTATGGCCATCACGTCGTGCTCGAAACGCCAACTATGGATAACAATTGTGAGCACATGGACATTGTCTGCACTGATGGCCATACCGTTGTCAATGTACAATCAAACGCAACCGGTGTTCACCTATCGGTGGATCACCCGATGCCGAGTAGTGTACCCGCAGACCAGCTACGATCTACCGTTGCTTTTGACGCTCGAGTGCTTTCTAACACAATATCTCATACCGTTGTCATTGGCCTGTATTATCGTAAGTACAATATATACTTAACTTTCATTTACCAATAAAAATATATTAAAGTATCATGGTTAATTAGTTTTAATTATGTCTAATTATACATTTGTTGTATACAGTGTTGTATAATATTTTCTTAGTATAAGATATTTAGTAGTTGAATAAAATTTTTATATATAAACTAATATATATTTGCGAAACATTAAACTTTTAATTGATTTTTTGGATCAAATAGAAATTAATTAAACTTTAAACTTTTTTTAAGGTTTGTATAGTTATATTTAATTTAAAAGTTAATTTTTATCAAAAAATAAAAAACATTTTATGCTTAAATATATATTTTACAATAGTATTAAGGTATATAAGATATATTATTGTGCATTATAAATTATTTTTTATATATATTAACAATAATATTTAAGTTATACTGTATTTTAATACAAATGTATTAAAATTAATAATCATAATAAGTTTATTAACTAATAATAAATCAATTACAGTAATAGTTATATAATCACATACATGTATATCAATTTACATACTAAACAAAATAGAGTATTAAATATTAAGTAAATAATGTTTGTAATACTTATTACTAAATCCATAAATAGTAGTATCTATTACTTAGAGAACATTAAAGAAATTATTTTAAAATCCAAAAATTAATTAAAGTCAAGTCCGTTGCTAATCAACTATTGAATTGAATTATAATCAAAATGTATAGAAAAATACATAATAGAAAATTATATAATAGTTTACTACAAAAAAACATAATATTATAATAAATCTCTTTTGTTTTATATATTTTTAGCTTATTAAAATAAATAACAAATATTTTTCTTATCATACAAAATATAATGAAATAGACATAAAAACATTATAAAAGATTTTAATTATATTTACATTACGTAATAACATTTTCTATAAAAACCAGTTGAGAATGCTAGAAAGCATAGTCAGAAACAAACTTTAGTGGCATGAATTCGCATAAATAATAAAATATCCCACATTTACATTACTAAAATTAAATAGTCCGTATAAATGATTAAATTTAAAATAATTTTGTATAATAGTTGTTAGTTAGTATAATAATTATTGATGAAAACCTTTAATCCATATGAGTATATTATAACCAAAATTTTCACTGTTTATATAAGTTTTCCTTATTATATAAGAGTCAAATTATATTCAATATATTTATTTACAACAACCATTAGTTCATTTGTTTCATATTATACAATACATATGCATTTTAAAAATCAGTTTATTTTATCAGTTATATTTAGATAAATTAGTATTTTGATTATATCCATGAAAAATAGATAAGTACTATTTCAAGCATTTTATATTTTTGTTGTATATGAATCTAATATCAAAAATTTAAAATTGCATTTTTATATTTTGTACGTAATTTTGTCCATTTTCATGAAGAGATGTCATTTTTATGTTTATCTTTTAAACATTTTTTTCAATTTTCTAACCGAATCTTAATATAAAAATTCGATAAAAATATTGGTCGGACACACGTATCCATTCCAGAAAACAAATTTGTTTGAATGTATTTGAATACTATATAATATATATTTAGACTTTTATATAAAAGCAGGTTTAAGTACACACATACACAAAATACTTAGATTTTAAAAAATTTTCTAAAAAATTTTTCTTTATTACTTTGAATAATAATGTATATGACTTTCTATATATTAAAAATATAATTTTTATAAAAATATATATATTTAATTATAATGTATTATTAATGTTTTTGCTAATATAAATAAATAATCTCACTGTTGGATTATTTTAAAATAAGAAATTTAATATTTTAAAATTAACATTTTATGTGTTTATATCAGCGTTTAAGTTTATATTAGATATTTTATTATTATTGCTTACAATTAGTGATGTTCCGACTGCAAAATGCGCAATTTCTTTTTTTGGCAATTGCAAAATAGCTCAACTAAGAAAGTGCTATTTATATTAACAAGATTTTAATGGTAAAACATTTCTTAACGTATTCAAGATGAATAAAAAATAAATTATTAATAAAAATTTTAATTATATTTACAATAATTGTTACCATCCAAAAATCTTGTTGAAAAAACTAAAATTAAATTTATAAATAAATATTTTTAGCATTGTTAATGTTTATTTTTATACATGTCTTATGCGCGCAATTTCACACAACTTTCCTTAATTATAGCAAGCGAATTACGTAAAATTACCAACACTACTTATAATATATATTAATATTGTATATATATATATATAGTAACAAAATATATTTCTGATATGAATAGTTTATTTTAATAAAATATTTATTTTTCATATATGATACTCTATATCTTTTTGTTATATTTTAATGGAATTTTTTATATAAACATAATTAAACACTATATATATTAATATATAGTTATAGATATAAAGTTTATAATTTCATAAACTTTAATATTTTTAATTCTAACATTTGATCAAATTATTTTATATTAAAAATTAAATAACATATTAGAAAAAATTAAAAATAAAGTAAAAGCTATCAATTTCCTTGAGATATACATTTTATACAAGTAATAAATATAGGTTTTTTTTAATTAATAAACAAAATATATTTTATTTTTAGTTTTTATATTTTTATTTATTTTATTTTATTTGACGATTAATGATACTTACATACAGTACTATACAATAATTTGTAGGAAATGAATGAATTTGTATACTGTTTAATACACTATATTTTATAACTTATAAAATGACTATTAAATGAATGATTCATTCAAGAGGTAATGCATTTTTAGTAAAATATGAATGAATATCACAAAAAAACTATTGAATTTATTTTCTATAAAAATTTCATATTTTAAAAAATAAATATTGTACTGTATATACGTCATAACATAATACTTATAATAATACCGTAATATATCGTATAATAGTCTAATAGTTAGGTTCATAAATACGTGAAATTGAAAAAATAAATAAATTGCTAAAAACTGATATTTTTTATTTTATTATTTTTGTATATATATATATCTAACCTCTTATATATAACTACTATATGAACACTGTATATAAATGTTATTAACTTAATACTAATTATGATTGTCATAATTTTATTTCTATTAACTTGATTATCTAATAATAATAATAATTATTATTTTATTTGAACAGTACGGCAAAATAGCAATGGTAATATCACGACAGGGTAAAATTGCCAATTTAAGAGGTAATGTTTAACCATTATTTTTGTTTTTAATTTTATTTATATATTATTATAGATTACTTATAGATAACTACAATAGATATATAGTTTATTATAAGTGATTATTATTATTATTATTATTATTTTCATTTATTGTTATTATTATATGGTGTAATATAATTGAAATAAATATGGTCCTCTCAAATATTATTAACAGTAACTAAAATAATAATAATATAAATTAATGTTTTTATCCACTAGATAGTAATGTTGTTTAAAAAAAAATTTTATTAGACATTTTGCGCTATAATTATTATAAATTATATTTTTTATGGCGATCGTCTAATGTTATAAAATACAGTATAATAATAATTATTATTTTTTATTTAGTTAATTTATTAATAATATTATATAAATTTATTATGAAATACAACCTGCATTTTGTCATATATCACACTTTTGACTTGAGTTATTAATATTGTTGCAATTAGCTTATGTTATGTCAAATAAAAACATGTGCTTTAGTATATATATATATATATACAGTGAACATTTTTGGAATCAACTCGGCATAAAAAATAATAATTCCTTTCAAATACAACGTTTTATAATATTTGTTGTTAAATAGAAATAAATATGATAACGTAGTTTAAGAGTGACCTAATAAGAATACACTATTAATGCTATGCACACACTTAGACCGTAAAGACCTATAATGAATGGAATGATTGTCTAATGCTATGCACACACTTAGACCGTAAAGACCTATAATGAATGAAATGATTGTCAAACTATTTGTATTTTGTTTAATAACATTTGTTGTCATAGTAACACAAAATATATATATAATTCATATTAAAAAGCCCCGAGTCTTCGCTAGATCATAAGGACTGTATATATATATATATATTGTGTGTGTGTGTGTGTGCTTATGTAGTATTAAATAAAATGATTAATTTATAGATATTTTTTATTTATATAAATCTGTATGTTTGACAACAATTGTATAATTTAAGTTTGTAAATGTCTGTCCAAACTATAAGTAATAGCTTATATTGATTCATATATACGATATACAGTATATACTGTGTATTATATATTATATATCACGGAATCATATAACATACCAATATATTACTCTAAATATATTTATTTCAAATATTGATATTATGGCCGAATGGCGCGTACGACAGTTTAATGTTATGAATATTTCAATAGCCACTTGTAATAGAGAGAGAGAGAGAGAGAGAGAGAGAGAGAGAGAAAATTCGGTAAATATATTCAAGAATATTCTTTATCAGAAAATTTATTTCATTTAGTTTTTGTTGTTGATATAAGTCTAGCGGAATATCGTTTATGATAATTTTGCTTATATTTTTTATATATAATATACTATTTATTTTGTTGCTGTTTATAACTATTTTATACATTTACAATCTATATATTATATATACAATATAGATACTGTATTTTGCACAAAAAAAACATGCAATATACTGTAATTTATGATACATTTTGTTATTTATGATTGAATACAAAATACTTTTACTTTATTATAATATTTGAAAAAATATTTGAGAAAACAAAATACATTGTTTTCAAAAATTGTTTTTATTTTATATTATTATATAGTTATATCATTTATTGAAAAATTTTATTTGACTTATTTCTATAAAAAATATATTTCTATTTGAATATCACTAGAAATGTCTAATATTAGTATTTATTTGTTTACATTTAGAGTGTTGTATGTATTTTTAAAGTGATAATATTGCTTTAGTGAAATAAATGTTACATATTATAGTCAAATATTAATATAAAACCATTTTTATTTTTAAAAAATAATAAATATTATCATTAATCAATATTATAACGATTTTTCAAAACATAAAATAAAAATTTTAAATTTAAATTAATTTATTTCAATATATTGTTTTACTTTATACTTTAATTTTAGTTAACTTTAGACTTTAATTTATAGCCATATATTTTTATAACAAAAATTTTGATACATTTTATTTAGTATATCATACTATTAGCTCATTTTATAATATTAGTTGTTTTTTATAACATTAGATAATTTATAGAAATTTATTATAGAAATGTAATTTATCATACAGTTTATACAATTATACAATATTGTAATAAATGTTTTCAAACACTTATTTTTGTTTAGATCATATAGAGTATAGTTAGTTAATAAACAAAATTAAACCTAATATTACATTAAAACAAAGTTTTTTATAAAGATTAATTTTTAACAATATTGATTTAAAAATATATATATATATATTATAGCTTTTTGTTTGTTTTGTTTTTGTAGTAAAAATATATAAAAGCTAAATGATAAATGAACAAGGTGCTGGTTTGAAACATATATATACAGTATATACATCACAATAGTATAGTTACCATAAAATATGGAGTGTTTTTAGTATAAGAAGACATATTGTGTACTTAATTGACAGTTTGCTATATGTTTCTTATGGGATATCTTTTTCTACACATTTATTACATAATTCTCGATAAATCACATTATTTGTTAACTTTTTTTGTACTGAAATCTATATACTATAATATATTGTACTGTATGTTGAAAATATAATTAAATATTTATTATAGAAAAATGCACTTTATATATTATATAAAAAATTGATATTATATATACTTTATTAATTACACTTCCATTATAGTTCTATAGACTATTAAAAATTTTTACGAAAAGATATTTTAATTTAAAATTGTAATACAAAAGTTCCTAAATGTTAATAACAATTAATAACAATTTTAAAGTTATTAGTAATTATATATTTTCTGTATTATTAATATTTACATAATTTGGAAAAATGTTTATTTTCTAAACTGTAAATACTGTATCAATATAGTAAATAGTTTAAATGCCAACAGTTAAACAAATAAAATTTATTATATATATATATAGTATAAAAATAACAGCATTTATGGAATATTATTATTAATTATCATTTTTAAATTGAAATTTTTATTTATTTAATCTGTGATCATTCACACAATTTTTCAAATGTAATTCTATAACAAATAAAAGGTTGTGTCCGAAAATGTTGATTTAATTATATTTACATTACTTTGTGATAAATAAAATAAATAGTTAACAAAATAACAAATATTTTTATTTGCTTTACAAGCAATTTTATAAAACTGCTACTATAAAATATCTATCGGTGTGTGTGTGTGTTTGCAGCTAAAAATTATTATAAAAATAAACCATTATTAAATTTTATATTGGTTAGTTAATTTATCGATACTACTGTATTTTATAAGTCAAAATTAGATATCGTTTTAGATACAGTACTTACTTGAAAAAATATTTTATTAATGTCATACAAAAAAAATAAAGTTAAATAAATATAACATTTAATAGTTTGACAAATCTGCAAAAACACTTAAGTAATAATCACTTCGAAACATAAATAAATAAAAACAATTTGTCTGATATAATATACTGTACACTATATAAATAAATATCATAATTTTATCTAAAGTAGATAAGTAATTTTGTGACACAAGTTTTTTTTATTTATTAATAGATTGATCTTTAATTATAGAAAAATTAGTTAATATTTGATTTTTTTATGGATATTCATATTTTTTTTGTCGATGGATTCATTGTCAATAAATTAATTTTTATCTATTTATATTAATTTCAGTACTTATTTAAGCATATAATGTATTTCATATGTATTTAATCTAAATTATACTGTTTTTACAGTATTGTATTACAGTATTACATTGTAAACTGTATTACAAATAATACTGTATAATTAAATTGTTTATTTTACTTGTTATTATATTCATCAAAAACATGATTATTTAAGTCTTTATATTAAATATATATATATATAATTTAAACTAATATTTTTTATCTTTTCAAATATATAAATGATTATAATTTTAAAAAGATATTTTTAGATCACAATTTAATTTTCATTTAAAAAACTTATGAAAACCAACTAAAAGGGATTATCAACCAAATGGATGCTTTGAAAGCAAGAGAAAATTAATTTTGATATTAATATTAAGGGATTTGTGTAATATCTATATATAAAGTATATATATGTATGTATTAGAGTTAAGATCCATGGGATTAATGAGACACAAGTCTTTGAAATTATTAGTAAATATGTGGTAACTGATGATATACTGTAGAGTATATAAATGGTAGACAAATATTTAAGATATTAATTTGTTGTTTGTTGTCGACACTGATAGGTTTGTTTATACACCAGTGTGTGTGTGTGTGTGTGTGTGTGTGTGTGTGTGTGTGTGTGTGTGTGTTATGCAACACAAGATTACATTCAATAAATTGTTGCATTTACTTATGAAAGCTAATATGTTAGTTGAATGTATGTGTTTATTATTGTTTGTGGCTTTTAATCATTTAATGCTAATAGATATCCATTAGAGTTTATTAGTGTGTGTGTGTGTGTGTGTGTGTGTGTGTGTGTGTGTTAAATCAATTTATTTATTTGTATAATTTATTAATCATTGTCACTATTATAAGATAAATAATGCAATTGAATGGACAGGTACGGTATATTTTGTCGATAAGGACACTAAACATAATTTTAGATAAACATCGGATCACTATTTGATATTATCTTTGAACATATAATGTCTGGTAACGTAATATACATTAAACTATGAGATATTAAAATATACAATGATTTGGCGAGTTTACAATAAACATTACTTTAGTGGCACAGTTAATACTCTCTCTCTCTCTCTCTCTCTCTCTCTCTCTCTCTCTCTCTCTCTCTCTCTCTCTCTCTCTCTCTCTCTCTCTCTCTCTCTCTCTCTCTCTCTCTCTCTCTCTCTCTCTCTTTGTGACACATAATATAAATAAATATTAATTTATATAAACCATTATTATAGTCATAATATTCCATTATCTAAGACATAATAATATTCCGGTAATAATAGAAAACTTTCAAAAATTCTTAATATGCAATAATTCAAAATTATAATTTATATATACGGTATAAAGT